ATCAGTAGGAAGCATATGACTCATCTGCCATAACATTTAAATTTAGATTTTATACCTGAATGACTCTAGCTCTTCCAAAAGCAATTGTTTATGTGTTGTTTGTACAGCTAAAAATTATGACAGTTCCAGGGGTGTGGAACAGCAGGTTCTAATTTGGAAGTTTACTCAGCTGCTTCACTCTAAGATATACAGGGTTTAGAACAAAGGCTTGCAGACCAGAATTATATCAAATGTTTTCAAAGATATTTTGATATTCTTCATATTTCCTCCTAGACACCAGGCCTCTAATATTCCAAACCATCACCGTCAAAGACTTTTTAGTGCTCACCCTCTTTTTCTATCATTCTTCTTGGATAATCACATACTCTTAGAGAAGAGGCATATTGATTAAATTATTATTCTTTAAACAGGAGAATTTTATTATCAAATGTAGCCATTATACAATCGTATTCACACAATGGGTTTGTGTTAATTGTGTCTACCTTTAAGATCTTTCAAATCTTTTTTTTTTCCTTTTAAATCTTGCATTTCAGTTATCATCAATATTCACACCAATACTGTTCCTTTTTTTTTTCCAGTAAATTAAGTTAAAAGTTATTTTGCTTGATTAAAGTGGTGATTTATATGGTCCTCTGGTGTTAGTCATTGCAATAATGCAAAGTAAACAAATAATAGTATCTGAATGGTTTTATACTAAATTTGCACCCAAGCAAGAGGAAAAACTTAAAGAAATATGTGCCTTAGCTAATTAAATCTCACTTTCCTCTTTGGAGTTAAATGATGCACAGTGGTACCTAATAGAACCAAAGAGTCTAAAACTACATTTTTGTAGCATGAACACAGCTAAACAAAGAGAAGTAACACCATTTACAACATTACCAAAGGCAACTCTTCACATAATATAATACATCGGTGTTTAACTTTCCTCTCCATCCCACGCTATGATCATAGGCCCATGCCCTTGAAAATTACGAATATCAGACAGTAAAGACATTAAAGAAACAGACTAGGGTTTTAACACTATCTTAATAAACACAGCATTCACCTGTTACTTTATTGTTTTTCAGAACACAATGTTAAGCATTTTTCCAAGGAACACCTGTAACATTAAAAACTATTAATACTTTTCTCATTGGAGTCTGAAGCATCATTCATGAAAAAAGCACAGCATAAAATGTTACATGTGAAGCATGACATTCAAGTTATAGTGTAAACCAGAAAAGACTAATTTCTTGTATCTCCTTCCCTTTTTTGTTTTGCCTTTTGAACTCTAGTTCAGTGATCTGCAAATTGGGATAAGCATAATCCTGGAGGCTACTTTCTGGAATATTCCTTCAATGATACATCAAAGGAAATCAATTTTTGGATTTTTAGGAAAAGTCTGTTGCCTAAAATTTCTTCTTCCCTGTCTTGCCAGTAATAACTATTCTTCCACTTAAAAGAAAGCACACCTGTTACCCACCAGAAATCTTATTATGATATATGTCCCCAATTATAAAAACCTTAGGAACACTAATGAAAAAGACAGTTGGAAATATTGGTGTAGGTGTGGTATGGAAAAATGACTCTAATGACTAGATAATAATTCTCTCATAAGCCTAGATATTTCTAATAATTTACTTTCAACAAAACTGTAGGATGACCTAATCAAGTTATCAGCTGATATATCATTACAACAAACTTTTGTTGTTAATTTAAAGAATGTAGTGACACTCCTATTAAAAAACTTTTTCAACTCCCCTTCTATTTTTATTATTCTTGAAAACAGTACATTTCATCTCCCTTTTTTTCTTTTTTTGGCCTGTGCCACGGGGCATGTGGGATCCTAGTTCCCTGACCAGGAATCGAACCCGCGTCCCCTGCATTGAAAGTGCGGAGTCTTAACCACTGGACCGCCAAGGAAGTCCCCCACATTTCGTCTATTTGAAAATGATGTCAACTTTATGTTAAATGCCTTATTGTTATATTTTTAAATGGATGAAGATGAGTATCAAATAGGTATTGTATTTAAATTCCACTGGAAATACTTGAGTGATATAATTATTCTCTACTGTAAATATAGAGTTTAAAAATACCATAGAAATTGCGTCTTTTGCTGTCATTTAAATTTATGGTAAAAAATGTTAGATGTTGATTTATAAATGAAAGAAAGTACTTAGTTTTTCTAATTATTTTAAAGGCTACACAAGCAAGAAAGTTTGGAGACCACTGCCACCGTTCTTATTCCCAATTAGTACCTGATCACAAAAGGGTTCCATTTTTAACTCTGGCATTTTTTATTAAGGGTTATTTCATTTAATCCAATTTCCTAAAAAATATTTTAAGAAATCATTTCGGTTGATTCTGACTAGAAATCATTAAGATAGAAAGATTGGGAACATTGAGGTTTTATTTCATTGTTTTCCTTGGTTTGTTAAGTAATGCAAGATCATATTCTTGAAAAAAGTATTTTAAAAGAGGCCAGGAGTAAGCAAAACTCAGAGAGACTGAGAAAAGGGAGAATACAAAAAATAAAAATAAAGCTACAGTATCACTGCTGATATTGGAGATGGTGGCCTACGGTGGAGTATATTTTTAAAGGACAAGACTTTCCCACTCAAGGAACTTATAGGGCCATAATTTAATTGGCTTCACTCCTACAAAGTATAGGACACTGGCTCCATCAAGTTGTTGAGAACTCTGCAGCCTAAGTGTAGAACTTCCTCCAAAGTTACTAGGAGTTCCCTGGTAAGAGTTTCAAGGCCTCCATGAGTCTTTCAAACCTGAGGCTGCCATGCCAGGTGGTTCAGAAAATGCTCAAGCCAAATGGAAAGCATGCCTGAAATGCTGCGGGGTTTGAATCTGAAAGCACAGGGAGAGAAATGACAGCCTCAGTGGAAAAAATTGTTCAGCAGTGGCTGAAATATGGAGGAGGGAGGAGCTAAGTGTGGCTGTTGATATGCGACAGAGCTCAGCCATTTCCACTGATTGGCCCTATTCATTCAAGCTCATGTCCTCCATTACAAACAAAGACATTTCAACGTATTTGTCCTTCATGGTCTTTTTATGACACTCTGTGTAGCCATAAACTCTGCAGATTTCATCTGGATCAGGCAAGTTCTGATGGGCAGCCCTGGTGATTTACTGCCATGTGAAATATGAGTTTCAATATTTGTGGACAATTAGCTCCCAGCAAGACCAAAATTTCCTCAACCCTTGTAACCTAGAGAAGACTTTAAAGACACGTGCAGACTGACATTTACACAAGTCCATATTGCTGAGGTGGGCCTAGAATAATGGGGTTAAAGGTGAAATAATAGGCATTGAGGAGAATTGTTGCAGGGCCTGCTAAGCTGCAGTGAGTGGCTTCATTCACTGTAGAAGAGTTATTATATCTCTGACTACTCTGTGGATTCCTCACGAGCAGATAGCGCAAAGCACCCCCTGTGGGCCTGTCATCAGGGAAGGGTATAATGAGGACAGCCAGAGAGAGCCACCATTTTACTGTGGCATGTGACAATAGCTTGATTTTTGTTGGAGAGAAATTAGGCCATCTCATTGGAAAAACATTAGGGATTCAAACAAACAAACAAACAACAAAAAAAACCTTCCACCTGTTATTATTAAATACCAATATATATCCGCATGTGATGATTTATACCTCTTTGCTCTTTACTTATGAATTGAAAGAGCTTCTCCATTCCTTCTGCTTTGGGTGCTCACAGCCCTTTTTCAGGCAACATGGAGGCCTATAAGATTCTGGCACCATCTTGCTCCTAAGTCTTCCATGGAAAGACTTTACCCTCTCAGTAAATTCTATCCTGCTGCAAGTTCCACTTTCAGATTTTTATTTCACGCTCTCTGGATCTGAAAACCTGCGATTTTTATGGTTCTGAGATCATTGTTAAAATTATTTTAACATTATTATTAATTAATTAATTATTTAAATTAATTTACTATTATTATTATTATTTTTTTTTTTTTTTTGCGGTACCCGGGCCTCTCACTTTTTTGGTCTCTCCCGTTGCGGAGCACAGGCTCCGGACGCGCAGGCTCAGCGGCCATGGCTCACGGGTCCAGCCGCTCCGCGGCATGTGGGATCTTCCCGGACCGGGGCACGAACCCGTGTCCCCTGCATCGGCAGGCGGACTCTCAACCACTGCGCCACCAGGGAAGCCCAATTTACTATTATTTACTCTCCTTATTTTTGACTTGACAGGGTCCATATTGGGGGTGTTGAACCATCGTTGTCAAAACCTTTGTCAATTGCTTCAACATCCAGTTTGTCAATATTACCTAAACCAAGGCATCGATTCTTAAATTTTCTCCACTAGATCAAAAAAGAAGTAGTCGCTTTTAGCAATGATATATTACTTTTGGAAATGTCAGGTGTAAGTTTTGCCTGACAACAAGGGCCCATCAGAGACTGACGGAAGTCTGTTTTTCAGTATTCAGTTCATTGCTCACTGACTGGTTAAACTGCCCAAGAACTTGGCTCAGCTGCTGCACTGAATGCATGCCTAGCACAGGCCTCAGTGTGGTTGCTGGGTGCTTTTAGGTGAGCCCTTGACAGTTCAGACTGAGCACTTAGAACTAGTGCTTTGTGCAACTGTCCCATCTTCTTGTTGGTAAGATCCACCACTCTCTGTAACAGCAGGATCAACTCATTCTCATCTGAGGACAGCGTGGAAAGGATTTTCCCCAAACCCCACCAAATAATTCCAAGAAGCCATCATGATGCAAGGTGGGGAGGGGAAGTGGGGTATATCAGAGGTGATGAAGTGGGGATGGAAGTAGATCAAGAAAACCAGTGCTAACCCTTGTCAAAGAAGATCAGCATGTCCATTCCCCCACCTTTTCCTCACGGCTGCTAGAGCAAAAGACCATAAGGAACGCTCTGCTCCACCCCTACCCTCACCAAATACCCAAGGCAGGAAGGGGCCTGGGGGATTGGCTTGCAGCATAGGTTATTTCTCTTCAACAGAGTGGACTTACATACTTTCATCTTGTATTTGCCCAAGGACAGGTCATTACAAAGGCTTCACCAGAATTATGCAGCTGTCATTCTACTCAGATCCAGATCCCCTGTCTTGCAAACCTCAAGGCGACGTTACCTGAGCTTTGCACCCGTCTCCAAGGATATAATCTGCAAGAATCTAGTGAAGGTCTTCTGGGGGAAAGAGTGGAGGGGAGGGATCTGGAATGTTATTTTTGAATTCCCTATTAATTAGAACAATAATAATCATGCTCCTTTGGTTACGGTGCTCGCCCCCGCCCTACGTAGATTCACTTGGAGAAGATAATCAAGAAAAAAAATGTGTTTCCAGCCCTCTTGTATAATTTAAATATTTTTCTTACTTTAAAACAGCACATTTACTCCGAGCAGGTGTTTTCTCTACAGAGCATGATCTTCTCGCGAGAGGTGAGTTTTCAATCAGAGACACAGGTGACTGCTCCATGATTCTGGCTGGCCCTGGCAGCCCAGGTGGTTGCTGGCGGGGGGCCGCTCCCTGGCCTCTCGCTTCTTCCCTCACACCGCCTCCTCTTGGGCAAGAGGATGCATCTGGTCTGTATCTGAACACCGGCTTTGCAACACAATGTGACTTAGCCAGCAGGGAGCAGGGCTGGGACAGCTCCTGAGCCCTTCTTTCCTCAGAATCAGAGGTGCTGATACTCCACATTTATGTATTCATTAACGAATATTTATTGAGCCACCCCCAAGAGAGAACCAAGATGAAAAATCATGAGTTCCAGAGGCTACCCAGGCTCAACGCTACCTCTGCTGCCACCTCTGAGCTCTGGGACCTTGGCAAATTATGAACTCCTTTAAGCCTCCATTTCCTCTTCTATAAAAGAGGGAGAGTGATATAGTTCCTATCTGGTAGGAATTCAGCGAGGATCAAATGAGATAAGGTTTGTAAAGGTCTCAGCCCATTGGAAGAACTGGTAGCTATTCGGCAAACTGGATTTGATAGGCTGTGAGCAGAAGACAAGTTAATTTGCTCCTCTGCTGTGCTTTCTAATCCCGTCGGGCAGGTCCTGTAATGTTTTGTGTCACTCTCAGATCATAAAAAGTCCTCTGATCAGTTTTCGTGCCAAGAAGAGTCTCCTTTCAGAAAGTCAAATGTTTGGTCTGGCATAACATCGAATCCTGGAGCTCTGTCTAATTGAGAGCTTCTCTCCACCCAGCTTGCCACAGGCCAGGAAGCCCAAGTGGGGGAGGGGAGAGGAGTCAGCCTCCTTCCTCCGCCCTCCTGGCTCTACCTCCTACCCACTCAGTAGCTATGATGTTGGACTTGGCAAAGGTCGGGGGCAGAGGAGGTTACAGGAAAGGGCCCAGAAGAAAGCAGATAGAGGCGGGCTCTGGCACTGAGGCTCACAGCTGCCCCTTGTCGTGGGTAGGTGGCCTTAGCCACTGCCCTTTCTGTTTGCATTTCTCAGGCCAGTGTCCCCTACCCAGCCCTTTATGTCCCTCCCTCTACTTCCAGGGACCATTGTCAAGCTCTCTCAGTGTTTCTCCTGAATCCCTTCTCACTTGATTGGAGGTGAGGAGGAGGCACACTCTCTCCTCCCTCGTCCTGTAAAAGGACATGGCCCTGCTCTCCAACCACAGATCACGTGGGACTAGGGCAGAGGTCAGTGGGCTGGCCCTCAGCTTCAATGGCTTTTTGATCATTTTGCTGTCCCCCACCCACTCTTCCTTGTCTTCCAGTGCCCTGGCTGGTGCTGAGTGAGATTTTTCCTGGTGGAATTCGAGGACGAGCCATGGCTCTAACTTCTAGCATGAACTGGGGCATCAACCTCCTCATTTCTCTGACCTTTTTGACTGTGACAGGTAAGAACTCGCTTTCCTCTAACGCCTTTTGTGCTCTTAGGACAAATCTTAGGGAAGCACACTCGCCTGAAAAACATTTTCTCGTCAACATTTTCAAACACACTCAAAAGTAAAGAGAATGGCAGTGAACCTGATGTACTGACCACCCAATTTAAAACTTTATCAGTCTTCATTTATGACCCCACCTGCTCTGCCCCCCACATTATTTGGAGTCATTGTCCAAACACGTCATTTTGTCTCTAAAATTTCAGCAGGGACCTCTAAAAGATAAGACATTTAAACACTATAACTTCAACATCATTATCACACCTAAAAATATTATACTATTAATAGTCTCTTGGTATCAAGTATCCAGTCTGTGTTCACATCCCTCCAATTGTCTCATAATTATTTTTTATAGTTTGTTTGAATCACAATCCAAATACTTAATTTATGGTTGATTGATATGTCTCATAATCTGTAGGTTTCACCTCCGTTTCTCCTCCCCCTACACTTTATATTTTTAATGAAGAAACTGGGTCGTTTGTTTCATAGAGTTTTCCCCGGGGTTGGATTTGCTGATTGTAGTAACATCACGTGACCCTCTGTCCTTTGTGTTTCCTGTAAACTGCTATTTAGATGTAGAGGCTGACAAAGATTTAGATTTTCTTGTTTATTTGCAAACTCCTTCCCAGGTGATGGCCTGTGTCCTGCCATCAGAGGCATGTCCTGTGCGCTTATCTCCCACTTTGTCATGCCTGCATCCTTTGAGGATCATTTCCCAGATCCGTTATCTTCATTTCATTATTCCTACTAAGTTTTTTATCAGCAATACTTCTCTTAAGGAGAAATTTCTTCTCATTAGTTATTTGCCTGCCCGAAGTATGAATCATATAAGAAAACCAAGATTAATGTTTGAAAATTTCTCTTTATTTTCTACTTTTCAAAATAATGAGGTAGTTCCCCAGCATCCTCCAAAACTGACCAATGAGTTGAGTTTTCGTCCCTTCCTTTATTTTATATGTATATATATAATGCATAAATATTAAATAGTATCTATAATACAGAGATAATATATATTGATACCATTTCAAAAGTGGATGTATAGTCAAAAAAGTATATATCTATATGTAGTACTTCTGAATCTTGTTGACTTTTTTTGGAATATATCTACTTTTGGAAATGAACTTTTAGAGTTATTAATTAAGCACAGTTTGGGTTTTTACACAAAACTTAAAAATATTTATGTCCTACATTTTTGGAAATAGCCCAAGATGAAAGGAAACACAGGAACTGGTCATTTGCATCAACCGTACGTCTCCTGCTCAGATCACACACATAGACCCGTGCCCTTCACCTTCTCACACACACACAACACACACACTTACCTACTATTTATATGGAGAAGGAGAAATATAAAAGAAAGAATGGAAATGATGAAGGATGAATAAAGACGACGCGAATTTCTGGGAAGGATAGCTAATACATAGGATGAGCTTGATGAAGATTCAGAAGTTCTGCATGGGCTCTTAGAACAAATGTTGGGAAAGCATACTCATTAAAAAAAAAAATTCTGGAATGAGCTCAAACCTGTAAATGACATTTCATTGGACTAAGTTTGAAATTCTGTACTTCTTTTCAAAAATCAATTTTCCAAGTAAAAGATATAAGGGTTCTGCTTGGTGGCAAGCCCTTGGACACCAACTTTTAGCACAATTTCAGCTGTATCAATAAGAACAGAGTGTACCAGAGACACAGACATACTCTGCTGTGCTCATAATACAGCTGCAGTATTGCTCTCAGCTCTGAGTAAAATATTTGACGAGGGTTGCAGTGTGCCCACCAAGGGAGGGCAACCTGGATAACGTGGCAGGTGACCTATGGTCTGTGAAGAACGGTTGCAAGAGTTTGGGAGTTTGACTTGGACAAGAGGATGCTCAGCAAGGGATGGAGGTGCATTCAAATATTTGCGCCACTTTCGTGAAGAAGGGATGAGGAAGGCTGATCCAGAGGACAAAGCAGAACCTCTGAACCCAAGTTCCCGGAAGGTAGTCTTGGGCTTAGGAATGAGTGAGGAATATGTTTGAAACAGACAGGGCTGACTCACAATGTAGTGTGCATTTTTGATAAGTGATGAGCTCCTTGTTACTGAAAATACTCAAACAGAAGAGCATATAAGTTTGCTGAGATGACGTTTTGGGTTTTATTTTTTTTTTCCACTTTTTTATCTTCTGGTTTTATGCCCCAGAGAGGAAAGAAGGACCAGTTCTCCAAGCACTTTATTAAGCACTCTCTTGGACAAAACCCTGTGTTAGCAGCAAGAAAAGCACAGAGGGAGCGGACTTCAATTAAAATTGCCAGAAGGACGGCAGAGTTGTTCCTTCTCCCTGCTTCCCCCCACCTCAGCACAGCTGACCTATAAGTGGTTAATATGCATAGCTCCTTCCACTTTGCATTACCAAATGCCTTCCGCATAACTGCTCAGTCAGTGTTCCCGACTGACCAGTTGTGATTTGTGGCCGCTAAGGGCTATTTGCATTGTTTCAGTCTGTGGCTGGTCTGAGCCTGTGTTCAAAAAAATCCAGCCTCCTCCTCCCTGCTCCTGGCCACGCTGGACTTTCCGCTGAGCCTGGGGTGCCGCAGTGCAAGGGCAGACTCAAGTGCATCGGGGGCCACCTCTCACCAGCTAACATACCTTGACCTTGGTCAGTACTACAAAGGGACTGTACCTCTGGCTAGAAGCGCTCAGAGGGAAAACTAGGTTGGCGGGTGAGATCCATCAAAACCTGGAGGGTCCTGCTTCTTTTTGATGCATCTTAGCAAGTCAATGTCTTTCATTCGAACCATTATCCCTTTTTTTCTCTGAATCCAGGAAGCAGTATTACAAATACTGTCAGCTACTAAAATGATGAAATATTGCCAACATGAAACGATTTATTCAAATCAGAGTAAAGAAGGGGGAGCTCATTCCAAGAAGAGTCCATCTGTATAAATATGTCTTTAAAAATGTCTACCAAGTAGAAACCAAACTGCTATGGCGGGGATTCCCAAGAGAGGAATGGTAGAGGGTGAGGAGAGAGGAGATAGTTTACCTTCTGTTTTATGTGTTTCTGTGTTGTTTGAGTTTTTTTTTTTTTTTTTTTTTTGGATGTGAGTTTTTATTTTTTTTTTTTTTTTTTTTTTTTTTTATAGCGGTACGCGGGCCTCTCACTGTTGCGGCCTCTCCCGCTGCGGAGCACAGACTCCGGACGCGCAGGCTCAGCGGCCATGGCTCACGGGCCCAGCCGCTCCGCGGCATGTGGGATCTTCCCGGACCGGGGCACGAACCCGTGTCCCCTGCATCGGCAGGCGGACTCTCAACCACTGCGCCACCAGGGAAGTCCTCTATTACCATTTTGAAAACGAAAAGTATTATGTTCACCAAGAAGATGGCATTGGGTTTAAATTGTGATATTTACAAGACTGCTATTCACTTTACCAGAGAAAGCTGGGGTTGTTTGTGAAAATGAAACTTTCAGAGGCTGGCTATATTTTTAATTTGTGATTGCTATTTCCCTGGATACAACCAGCATGTTTGAAAAGACATATGTTTTCATATATGCTCTAAGAAGCAGCTGTCCACAAATGGGATGAAAGCAACACAAAATGCATCTCTAACCAATTTCTTTTGTCCTCTCTAGATCTCATTGGCCTGCCATGTGTGTGCTTTATATATACAATTATGAGTCTAGCATCTCTGGTTTTTGTTGTTGTGTTTATACCCGAAACAAAGGGATGCTCTTTGGAACAAATATCAATGGAGCTGGCAAAAGAGTGAGTATTATGTGCATTGCTCTCCAAACAACACTCTTTGATCAAAACTTCAGCTTTTATATACAGTGGAATAATAATAATATCTGAAATTTTTTAGGATATTCCCTTTGGTGGAGAAACCATATCTCAAAGCATAATTCGAGTTTCTCTGCCATGCGTTTAATTTGGCTAATTCAGCTAAGGAATTAGAATAAGCAGAGCTTTCTAACAAGTGAAACTTTCAAAGCTCTTTTCAGTAATGATTGAAGAACCTCGCCCATCTCTGGTTTTCCACACAGTGGGTGGGAGTTGCTTGGGGTTTCAGGTGGTCCTGGAATGTCATGCTTGCCTTGTGCTAGCACCGTGGGCTTCAGCCTTCCACCTCTACCACACTTGTAGGTCTCTAAGCCCTAAACACTTGTTAAGGCTAAGGTTACCAGGAAAACTCTTGGGCTTAAATGTCTACAATTATTCCAAAAATGGCACAAAGTGCACTAAGAAAGATAAAGAGTTTCCTACATGAATAGGCAGTTAGAACACTGGTTAAATAAAATTTATATGGAGACACTGCTTGAACAATTTGACATAGCAGTGGCCTGTAGAATACTCCCCTTTTCTTTAGGAGCAGGTCTCACAGCTCTGACTGTTGAAACTGTGGCCTGGGGGAGGAGAGGATGCACAGGGGCCAGGAATGAAGGGGAACCTGTTGCTCTTCCTAGGATTTAATCATTCTGCCCAAAAATGTAGGGATACTTGTTCGTGGACTTTAATATAACAGGAGGAAACTACATAATTACAGTTTGTGCCTTTCTTCTAAAAAAACTTTCATTACAGTAGAGAGAAATGTATGATGGCTACAGAAATTGTGGGCATAGTGATTCTTCAGCTTTTGTCTGAAGGAAGGGTAAACCTGATAGGTGAATTGATGGTAGGTATGTGTACAAATATATAGACCGAGCTCTTAATCCTGGCTTATTAGTATTATATAATATTTTTTTATTATTATTAGGGTATGAAGTAAGTAGGAGTATGGATGATTTTTACTTTGTACCTTATATACTTTAAAATGGTTTACAGGGAATTCCCTGGCGGTCCAGTGGTTAGGACTTGTCACTCTCACTGTCAGGGCCCGGGTTCAATACCTGGTCAGGGAACTAAGCTCTCACAAGCCGAGAGGAGTGGCCAAAGGAAAAAA